GATGTAATTTGAGACTGAAGGCAATATAAGAAAGAGAGATATTTAATGTTTTAATCTGAACTTTCATGCGATCATCCACCACTGCGTCCAGAGATCAACCAATCCGCTTCCATTTACAATGAATCATGGGAGATGATGGAGACGTCCTCCTAATCTGGAAACTGTCCTGCTTTAAAGAACGTGATTAGTCTGTTTTAGGACAGGGGTGTGGAAGGTAAGGAGATAATATCTTCTTCTGCTTCCAGGACGCTGCCTTCATCCCATCACTATGACAACGATTGCAAAGGAGCATCTTCGGCGCCCATCTACAGCACGGTGAAACCCAAAGAGAAGCCTCGCTCCCTGCCGCCGTCGGCCTCACCCATATACGACATCGCCACCCCAGCCAGTCAGTCCATAGAGGGCTCAGACTATCACCTGGTGTCAGGTCTGTTGGGTTTTATGGAACGGATGCAGGGGCCGGGATGTAAACTTATGAGCCTTTTTTCTTTTCTTCTAGCTGATGATCTGTCAGCAGGTGATCCCGACTATGAAGACGTTTCCTCTCCTGCGTCAGACTCCAGCAGTTTCTTTGCACCTGGCAGCATCGGTGAGTTCTCCAGAGCAGAACCAGATCCGTCTGGGGGGTGTAAGGGTTATAAAGTGGAGCCGTTATCCTCCACCCGCCTCCAGCTGAGAAACCACCAGAATGAAGGGTTTTCCTGTCAAACCAGCCCAGAAAAATCGCTGCTTGCTTTGATTTCCAGTCGGTTAGATTAACGCAGCTACGTCTGTTCTGAGTTCAGCTGAATCCAGGGGCGGTCCTAGCCCGTTTAGGGCCCTGGGCGAGCAGCCCTTCAGTCTAGAGCAGACCGGATCAACAGCAACACAAGAAACCAGGATGGACAAAAATTCTCAATTTCCCAAACAAATAAAACAAAAAATCCACCGTAAAGGTATTAAGGAGGATTTTCACAGATTTTTTGTAACACCCACCCTCTCCACTTTAAAAGATGTTGGATCCCAATATCTATATAAAAATATATAATATTATATATACCCTGCTAGTGTTAATTTTAGCAGCCATTTATAAAATTAGTTTCAGTTTTAGTCCAGTTTCAGCATCGCTTGTTAGTTTTTATCACATTTAGTCGACATCATCGCATTTTTATTTAGTCTAGTTTTAGTCGACTATAAGTCGAGCATTTTAGTCTTTATTTTAGAAATACAGAAAAACATAATTTTATTAGTCTAGTTTTAGTCAGGACATCATTTTAACCTTTTACTTTTTTGTCAGCAGATAATATTTAACATTTCCTAAAATTATTTCACATTTTAACATTTTCTCTCATCTTTTTGATAAAAAAAAAAACACAATTTTAAGGAACACATGCAGACATGGAAGATGTTCTGACTATATTTGCATATTAATTTTGAACTTTGTTAAGGTTCAAAGACACAGACACAAACACTTGCATTAAAACAAATAAAATACACCTGACAAAGGAAACTAATAAATAAAATAAAGTGACTTATGAACTTAACACAAGTGCTGGCTGTTTAAAGCTAGTTCACATAGAATAATAAAATAAATAGATTTGAGGTAACCCTGCAGGCATGTTGGCCTCGCTGCCCACAGCGTCCATTTTGCATTTGATAACTGTCTCCCCCTAGTGGTCTGGAGCTCCTCCATTATGCAGCTCCAGTTTAGATCTTTTACTAAAGTTCAACTGAAGTCTCTCCACAGCCTT